AGGAAGGAAGGAAGGAAGGAAGGAAGGAAGGAAGGAAGGAAGGAAGGAAGGAAGGAAGGAAGGAATCTGCCATAAATAAACCTGCCTTCAAAGTCAAAGAATCATCCTAGTAGGTAGTCATAACCTAGCTTATTGGCCTGAGATTTCTCTCCTTCAAGTGGACATGAATTTTAGGCTAGAAGACTTTTCTTGGAACATTGTTTTCACTCATGAAGCATGATCTAAATGTATAAATGTGGCTTTTTTAGATTGAAGACAATCTTGATAGCAGTGGACATTGCGTGCTAGTCTTTTTTTTTTTTTCCTCTAGGACACCTTAAAGCATTACAGAGTATTTACCAAAGGCCGTTGATTGAAATAAGCTGGCATGGTAGGAAATAGCTGGTATTTGAACAGTCTGTCCAATGCTTATGAATGAGCCCTACTGTGTGCCTGGCTCCTACCTAAGCACTGAGGATACAGCAGCAAATAAAACACTCCCCCCTGCAAAGCTTACTTCCCCCTTAGGAAAAGCTGCCAATATACAAATGAGAAATGAAATACACAGCATTGGTGGTAAGTGCTATGCCAAAAAACAAATCAGGAGAAGAGAATAATAATGAGTGCTGGGAAAACAGCAGGATGAAGATCAAAATCTGATGCTATCAAGCAACCTCAGGCAAGATTCTTAACCTGGGGTCCAATTTCCTGTTAAATATCTGCCTCAGAGGGTTGTTGTAGAGATTAATTTAAATGAACCATGATAAAGCACATGATAGAGGAATTCTTCCCACCAGCTGGTAATAGTTGTGTGCATGCGTGTGTGTGTGTGTGTGTGTGTGTGTGTGTCTGTGTGTGTGTGTGTGTGTGTGTGTGTGTCTGGGAACAGAACCCAGGCCTTGCACATGCTGGGCAAGTGCTCTACCATGGAGCTACATCTCAGCCCTGGCTGGTAATCATCTCAATTAAATGGCCTGATACAGAGAGCAGAGTTGCAGCGCTCAGGATGCCCCAAGACTCCTTCCAGAGCTGCTTTGATCCCTGTGCCCTCCAGTCCACCCAGAGAACTGGAGTGGGGCTGAGATCCTGCCCAGATTCCACGGGCCAAGCCCTGTGCCTTGCATGGGCTGCTCCTTTTTATAAAATAGGACCTAGAGGGCTCTTTGCCCCAGATGGCCACATGAATGGGCATCCTTTAGCATTTCATTTTCTGGAGAAGGGGCATATTTCTATCTGGCACTAAGCCACTGTGTGAGCCAGCAGATGTCCTGGTCATTTCCTTTTCAATCTCTACTCTGTGCTCAAACTCAGCACCAGTGCTGGGGGTGGAATGATGGCAGTCAGAGTAGGGCAGCCCACTCTGAAGTCCCTCTTCCAGCAAATTCTACCAACCATCCAACAAACCACCTTGAATGGTTGCTGAGGGCCCTGGAAAGTGCACTCGTGGTAGGGCTTGCAGTGGAGGTGATGTGAAATGGCTAAACAATGACCCCCCAGGCTGGTCCCCGTGAGTTTTCTATGGCTCAATGGAGGAAGGTCATGAGGTCCATATTTCCATTCTGTTTTGTGGTGGTTATCTTCCCATCAAAGGCATGTGGCTGCTGTGTGGTAGGAAGTGGGCAAGTTCTCTAGACCTACGGATGTTGAAATAAGAAGGAGAAGCGTTTTAAGGGACCAGTGGTTGGCAGAGTCGTTGAACGTCACCATCTCCATAACTGTAACTCTGGAGTTGGTACTTTGGATAATGGACTTTGGATAATGTTGCCCTTGAGAATTTCTGCACTCAGAGCTACATGGCAATGATATTGACTTGGGTAAGTCAAGGAAAGCAGGATTTGGGACACCAGCAGAAACTCGGCAAGGACAATGACATGTTGGCTGCCAAGCAGCATGTCCTCCTGACTGGGCTGCCAAAGTTTTCTAGAAACCCCAGGATCCCGGTAAACTTGTTATAAACAAGTTAGCTGTTTGATCATCCAAGTAGAGTTACATAGCACAAGTTTTAATCGTTTCCTGGTTCCTTTTTTGTTGCTGTTTCCTTAAAGAATTCTGGAGTGGGTGAATCTTATCTGTACTTAGCCATTGAGATTTTCTGAGACTGCATTTGGCTTCCGTTGATTCCTATCTGGCACGATGGAGCCCCTCCTCACCTCCCCCACTCCTGCTTCTACCCCTGGTTGTTCTTGTGGGTCCATGAGAATTGGCTCCTGACCTCTGCTCTGTGCCAGAGGAATTTCTAAGAAGTGAGCCTCCACCCTGGGCTGTCGTTCACTCTGACCATCGGAGACTAAGTTTAAAACAGCAGGTCATTCTATCCGTGGCCGGGCTGACCACTGTTCTGCTTTCTTTTTTACAGGAAATTGTGTAACTCTGTAAGTTTACTGGGGTGTGCGGTTATGTACAGGACCTGATAAGGAGCATACCTGCTGACCTGCCCTGGCACAGCATGAGCATGGCAGACCCTCTTCCCCCGTCTCTGCCAGTTCACTGATACGTAGGCAATGAGTTCTCGGCAGGACTTTGGTCACTCCATGACCCATTAGTGGGTCATGGCCCTGCTCAGCAGATCCTGGCATGGAAAGCGGTCACAAGCAGGGCAACAGGGAAAGCCCTGACTCTAATGTGCTGAAACCTGATGATATCAAGGTCTGCAGGAGCATGGGAAAGCGGCTTTTTAAAACACAGCATAAGGCTTTCATCCACCCTTTATTCTTATTCTCTCACTAATTGAATGAGGCAGAAACAAAAGCATGTGACTCAGGAACAAAACAGAACCATAATAATGGAATTATTTTTAAAAAGATTAAAGAAAGTGTGGCCAGGCAGCTCAGACTGAGCAGGGCTTTCCTTACTAGTGGATTGTGTAGAATACACTGCCAGTCTCTTGTCTTCTATTCACCATGGCTTCTTCTGATATTCTGGTGAAAGAACTGGAGAAGCATGCCTCAGGCCAGGCTTTTGAGCTGATTCTCAGCCCTGTGTCAAAAGAATCGGTCCCAGATTTCCCCCTTTCCCCTCCAAAGAAGAAGGATCTTTCTTTCCCTGGAGGAAATTCAGAAGAAATTAGAAGCTGCAGAAGAAAGATGCAAGTCTCATGAAGCTGAGGTCTTGAAGCAGCTTGCTGAGAAGCGAGAGCATGAGAAAGAAGTGCTAAAGAAAGCAACAGAAGAAAACAACCACTTCAGTAAAATGGCGGAAGAGAAACTGACCCACAAAATGGAAGTGAACAAAGAGAACCCAGAGGCACAAATGGCTGCCAAACTGGAGCGTTTGCGAGAGAAGGATAAGCACATTGAAGAAGTGCGGAAGAACAAAGAATCCAAAGACCCTGCTGATGAAACTGAAGCTGACTAATTTGTTCTGAGAACTGACTTTCTCCCCTTCCCCTTTCCTAAATATCCAAAGACTGTACTGGCCAGTGTTATTTTATTTTTTCCCTCCTGACAAATATTCTAGAAGCTAATGTAGGACTGTAGAGGTAGATCCAGACTGTAAGATGTTGTTTTGGGGGATAAAGGGGAGAAACTGAAAGTGTTTTAATCTTTTTCTAAAGTGTTGGTCTTTTTAATGTAGCTATTTTTATTGTTGCATCTTTTCTACTTCAGTGCACTTGGTGTACTAGGTTAATGGCTAGTACTGTATTGGATCTGTGAAAACATGTTTGTGAAGAGTATGTAGTGGCTTCTTTCAAATTGTTAGATGCTGAATATCTGTTCTCTCTTCAATCCCAATTCTGACCCAATCTTACCAGATGCTATGAATGGTTAATAAAACTGCACAGTGCTGTTGGTGAAAAAAAAAAAAAGATTAAAGAAGAATTGTTGGCCAGACTTGATCACACCAAAGTTCAGTGGCTGACCTTTCTGAAGCATTCTCCTCTCTTGACATCCCTGACCCCATTTTCCTCTGTGTCTATTCTACTCTAGGGTAACATACTCCCCATAGCTCTTAACAATCTGATTTGTTCCAGGTCTTCCTTTGTAAAAAGTGAGTGAGTGACAACACAGGCCAACACCCTTGAAAGAAATGCTTATTGCTACCTATAGTTCCTCTAGAAGCAAGAGGGTTTCATGCCACATAGGGATACATGGTGAAGCACTGGGATTGGTCAGGGAGCAGCCTCGACTGGGGTTTTCATGCAAAAGGCTAGGGACAGCAGGGTCAACTCCTTAGACTAATCTGAATAATCTCAGTGGGTTTAGGGCATAATTGCTGTCCCTAGTTGTCTAATGCTTGGCCGTGTACTGATGGAGGAAGTCATGGATCGGTGCATGAGAATTAGATAAAGAAGGTTGCTGACATGGATGAGAGACTGGCTCACCAACCATTTCTATTTTATCTCTAGGAACTCACTAGCTC